TTTTGGTACTCACAGGGAAGAAACCAAATTCAGCAGATATTTCAGATGTTTCTTCAAAAACAATAATTCACTGCAGGCTTAAAATCAAAAGAATATACTCTCCTCCCATCGCTTCGGCCGGTTTGGCACTTAGGTGGGAGCCACCTTTCTGAGCGATTGTAAGCAGCGTCATGTAACAGTCACGGTAACTCTACCACCTGTACGTTTCTTTTTAGTGCCAGCGGTTTTCCAATCATTATTAAATTTCAACCTGCAACCTGCAACCTGCAACCTGCAAAATATACCTGCCGGAGAATTAGCTAGCAGAGAATTCTGTTCAGTGCTGTCGTGAAATAGTAGTTATCAGTAACGCAATTTGCTGCGCCTCAGGGAAATAGCAATGCAAATTTGTAACGTGACCCAGAAAAACGTGATGTAACTCACAGGGACCGAATAGGGCACTGAGTCAATGTAAGATTGATTTTCAAGATATAAGATGAAAGAATGTTGTATAACCGTAACATTAGAACAAAGCTATGTGTACTTAAGAGCGAACAAAAGAATGTTTAGAGCAGATTGCAGATCGTAGATTGTTGACTTGGGAATAAAAGAAGTACTGTCCAACGTTATAGTCTTTACTCGTAGACATTGCCCAACAAGTACAAATAATCTGTCACGTAGATAACCAATGCCCAGCGCCGATACTATTGGTGGTGGTTGACTGACCTACGTTGCTAGAATCTGCCGGCTACACGCTTAAAGTCTGTCTCTTGAGTCACCCTACTTAGAGGGAAAACGGCTAAAGATTCATGTTAACTCGAAGGTTTACATCCTGGGAATTATTTAGAGATCTCCCTCAGATTCTGGTTTCTTTGACCGATTTCAGGACAAGTTAGAGAAAGTTTGGATTAAGCATTGGAATGTCGCCATTGTTGGTGACCTAAGCGGTGATTGTACCTGCTCGATCGATGGACGACGGGTCTACTGCCCCTCTTTTCTGGGAAAAAAAAAATACAAATCTACTGCAGCAATTCAACTACACGGTGGTCATTGATTGACCGTCACTGGCGATACTTCAACTTACTGGAAGCTTTTCCTGAAAGTAAAGTGATTCTGAGCGTACGAGTGGGCGATTTGTGGTTAGAAAGTGCTATGCGTCAATTGGATTCATTGTATGCCATGCGATGTAATGTCGAAAATTTACGAAGTGCTCACTGCTCGCCATCCGTATTTTCAAGTAAAGTGCTCGCTTCTCGCAAGACAAATTTGATCACTGCTCGTGCTCGCAAAAATAAATGCATTGCTCGCACGCTCGTAAACGCTCGCAAAGACCATTCGTTATCCCTAATGTCCTAAATAGACGTAAGCTTTTCAAGAGAGCTGATGGGTGACCTTGGATATGATAGCTCATCATTCAAGTGTCGAAGTTGCTGTTGTTGTTGTTGTTGTTGTTGTTGTTGTTGTTGATGATGATGTTGTTGAACTGGCCCAAAAATGTTTGTCTTCATGAGCCACAAAGCGGCCATATTCCTCTGGACCAGAAAGTCTAGAAACCGTTAGATCCTGTTGATCTGAGCACGGAATAGGTGTAATAGAAAACGAGACGTAGTCGAGTGTTTTACCCACTTCTTGAGTGCTCCACCACGGTAGTTTAATTTTAGTCCGTTGCATGCAAGCCTTTACACTAGCAGTTGCTCCTCGTTCGTTTAGGACCGT